TTTTTTTTTTTTTTTTTTTTTTTTTTTTTTTTTTTTATCTGATCAAATCTTAATTACTAAATAAAGGACCATATTTTTAGATATAGAACTTTCCCCATCCCTCATAGCTGTGTGGGTACCAAAATACTGCTTGGTCTTCTGCTACACCTCCTGTTCCTTGCCTCTATCCTGAATCGCCTTGGGGATCACTGCTTGAAGAACAGGTTGGAATTCAAGTAAGATCAGACTGAACATGACACCTGAGAGATGCTAGGCCAGGGCTTGAAATGAACCTAGTCACCCTTTAGAAGATCTTTTCCTTGTTTCCACCTTTCTGGCAACTGTGTATATAAAGCAACTGAAACTAGTCTCTGGTCATCTGTGTTATGAAGCATCTTAATGAGAATTACTTGAGCAAGAATCTGTCCACAGGTTGATTCACTCGATTGATACCCCCAATATCCTGTGTGCCGAGTACCTCCCGTGCTGTCCAGCACCTTTGAGCAGATGGAGTAACTACCGCACGCCTGCCTGGCGTAGCTGGGAAACTAATTGACCATATTTTCGGAATTCTTCTGCTGGAAATGCTTACACCAGCTGCTGATTTCTTTCCCAGTTGCAAGTAAAATGCAAGTAATAATAAAGACCTCTTGTGGGTGTCCAGGCAGATGATCATTTTGTACAGGGAAAGTGTTAAGAGGGCTACAGGTGAGAAAGGCTTATGGAGGGGCTATGTTCACCACAAAGGTACCAAAACTTCCATTAACATCCGTGTTTTATTGGATTAATGCAGTTACAATGCAATATGGAGGGCACCTCCTCAGGCAAACAACACATGCTGTCCACGAGCATGTCCTCCTCCCAAAACCCAGACAAACAAAAGAAGAAGCTAGAGCTCTGCTATGTGCTCCAGGGGCGGAGGACACTGGTTTTTGCTTCATATTAGGAAAGAGAGGAAGCCCTTCCCGGACGAAGGAGCTGTGGCATGGACACAGGCAGAGACAGCACACACACGCCCAAAGCTGTCAAACAAGCGCGGCTAACAGCACGGCTAAGCCTAGTCTTGGGAGTGAGAGCTGGGGCCTCGGATTTGGTACAGCGAGGAGGGAAAAATGAGGGAAACGTGTTGAGGCTGTCCCAGGTCAGGTTTGTCTATACAAGGAGGAGAGCATTAGAGTGCCCTGACATGAGACCAGCTTACATGGCATGGCAGGGCTTGTCTGGTGTTTTCACCCAGGAACTACTGGAGATGGCTTCGTAAAATACTGCTGGGAAAGGAGACGGTGGTGGGGCTGTATTTGGCCAGCTCCTGGAAGCTGGGATGTACGGACGCCCTGTGTGCTGACAGGTGTATCGGCGAGGGGAGCCAGGGAGAGTCCTGGGTCTGATCCTGAGGCACATGTCCTTTCTTACTGGGAGGGATGTTACTGAAACAGCTCTCCCCCAGGCGTGGGCTGTAACAGGAGTTACCGCAGCAGTCAGACGGGATAAACCCTTAATCCAGCAGTGGTCCTGATGAGGAAAGGTGCACAAACGGAGATTGGTTCCAAAGACATCATGAACAAGTTTTGAGACAGGGTGCATGCAACCTGCCCCAGCTGAAAAAACAGGTTTGAATCTATTGCAGGCATGACTGGAGCTATCCTAGGTCTTGTTCATTACTTAGTGGCCCCAGTAGATGACTGGGTGTGTGGTAGTTAAGTAGTGGCCAATCTATCGCTGGTCCTTGGGTTAGGAAGAGACGGGACACTGTGATAGTGTTGCACTTCTCGTGCGATCTGACCTACCAGAAGGATGGTTGCCACCTCTCTACCTTGCAAGGAGCAATAAAATACAAGCTGGCAGCACAGGGGAAGGTTTTATTTGCAGCTGGGGCAATTTTTTCAAGCACTGAGACTGACCCAGTTTTATGGGCAAACCTTTTGATGGAGACAACAGGGATGTTGTCATTTCTCCATCAGTGCTCCGTTTCTAAGTTTCCTTGCCAAATTTTTGCTCTTGGCTCCTGATCGAAGAGATCGGGATCCTTATCAAAGAGGTCACGTTCTGCCCTCCTATTAGGACTGCTGCGCATGAGCTGGGTGCCTTCTGCAGGCTGGGGCTCCAGCAGTGGGAGGGCAAATGCGTTCCCAGCACGTAGGCAGGGGAGATGAGAGATGCTGTCTGCTTGGGTCCCGTGTGCTCTGCGAGCCTGGCAGCTCCTAGGAGCGGTGTGCTGCGGTGGCTGATCTTCCACTGCATGCCCGCCCGGGTCTGCCGCTCAGCACCGCTGTGCCCAATGCTGAGGGATTCACTGGTTTGCCTCTGTGTCTTCTTCCCGTCCCTCCCCAGAAGTAGGAAGCACTTGTACTCTCTTAAGCAGGAGCGTTGAGGCTCGGTGTGGGAAGCCAGCCATGCAGGTGGGGCATGTTCCTGCTCTTCACTCTGGTGAAGAGGGTGCCTAGCTGTTGGCAATGACCACATCACGCCGACTGCCACCGCTCACAGCCGAAGGGAGCGCACCACTCCCCACAGCGTGTAAAGAAGAGGGAGGGAAGGGCCCTGCGCCTTGTCCCCAGCCCGGGAGTCTGCTGTAAACCGCAGCCCGTGCAGCCTGGCGCCAGCCCTGCAGTCAGCAGCAGAGGATCTTGAGGAAGGCTTTGCGGAAGTCGGTGTTGAAGGTTGTGTAGATGATGGGGTTGAGGGCGCTGTTCACGTAGCCAAGCCAGGTGCTGGCACTGTAAAGCCCTGGGGGCACGTGGCAGGATGGGCAGTGGGCGTTGAGGATGTGAATCAAGAAGAAGGGCAGCCAGCAAACTATGAATGCCCCTGGGTTTAGAGAGAGGGAGAAAACAATCCATGACTTTAGAGAAGCAACTACTTGGAAAGGGGCCTGCACCTGTGCCCTCTCCCTCCATCCTCTCACTATTTCCATGCACATGTCTGCATTTGGTAAACGCTGAAGGTGATGTTTATTCCTGATGCAGAGGGACTTGGCAAGAGCTCAGGCTCCTTGGAACCAGTTATGTGAATGGATGGATGGGGCTACAGAAGTGGCCTGGTGACAGACAAAAGCAAGTGGGAAAGACTGCTGCCTTAGCTGCTTTAATCAGTTACGATGAGGGCTGCATTATTTCCCCACTCCTACTGATATAACGAGGGGAAGCAGTGTGTCTGGTGACTGTGGCAGGTGACTGGGGCACCAGTCTCCTGGCTTCTCTATCCAGCTCTATGAGCTGGTTCCTCTGCTGCTCCTTGCCTCAGTTTCCCCTTCTGTAATTGGACCTAAGAGCTGCTGCATGTATGGAAACTTAGGATTGTTCCAGCTTTATAATAATAATAAAAAAAATAAAGGAAAAGGGAAAGCAAAGGTGGTAGCTGTTCCTCCCTCTAGCAGGGCTTGCTGGCCACTGATTTAAAACAAAAGGGTAACAAAACATAGCAAATAAAACACTAACATACTTGGCTCTCAACATTTGAAAGCATTACCCTAGATCCCTAAATGTCCCACCATTGTCTCTCCTGAGTTTGTGGAGCAGTGACAGCTGAAGTCTGGGCCTGGCTTGCATTTTTTTAAATCTCAATACTGTATTAGGAGATTCCTTGCTCTTGCAAGTCCCAAAACATCATCCCTTGCACCCCACTAGACAGAGTGGCTCTCACTCACCCAGGACAATAGCTAGCATCTGTGTAGCCTTCCTCTCCCGAAGCTGGATCATCCGGGGCTGCTGGTGTGCTAGCTTCAAAGAGCTGATGGTTTTGCCATCGTTGAGCCTCCGTACCTCCAGTCCTGGCTTCATACTCTTTCTCCTCTCTTCCAGCCTGTTGTGTTGTGTAGTCCCTGGTGTCTTGGTGAGCGATGCCTCATGGCAGAAGCTGCGGTACCGCTGCAGGTTGAAGACAGTCAGCAAATTTCTTTTGGTAGGCATCTCCTGGCCTGAGCATTTGAGTGGGAGACAGGGGGAAAAGGTGCCTTGGCATCTGTTTGGCAAAGCTTTTCTCTCCAGGTGTTCCTGCAAAAGAGGATGCCACAGAGGAACTGGGAACCACCCAAACCTCTCCTTGGGTCAAAGGATGACGAGGAAAGTTGTAGGAGTCATCCTTAGCCCCACTTGCTTCTTAGGTTTGCACCTTATCCTCTGGACTGACCTTGGCTTATCAGAGGGGTGAACCAGCACCGGACAACTCTCTGCCTCCATCCCACCAAGGAGAAGCATGAGAACAAGAAGAGCTGAAACACCTGCTCTGCTAACCTTTCACTTGTATTTTTGTGTTGGCCCTGCGCCCCTCAACATCCCCACCCTTTTTTAATGTAGCTTCACTGTGAGAAAACGGGTAAAACAAGCGGATATACGTGACCAGGTGATCCCTTTCAAACCATTGTGCTGGTTCCCATGGTTGCAGCTATTTCATCTAGAAAGGTCAGTGGAACAAATGCTCCGTGCACCATGAGCATTTTGACCTCTTAAGTCTGTCAGATGAAGAGGTGGGTTTTTTTTTCCTAAATAATCTAGGTTAAAGCCTGTGAAGCCCTGAGAACAAAGTTTCATAGAGCAAAAATCAATAAATGAAGAAATTAGCCAGACTTCTGCATGGCTGAGAAAGCCCTGCTCTGAAGAAATATTGAAGTAGGCTGTGCTTTTTTCTAGTTGCCTGGTTCTAGAGGGCAGAGATACACAAGGAGTATCCTCTTTCTAGAGGGCTGAAAAGGATTTAACTGGAACTTCTGCATCTCAAATATCATGGTGTATGAGTGAGGGATGGGATGAAAACATGCCATGTCCCTTCTTTATGCTTTCCATTTTGTGCTTTGACCCTTTGAGAAGATGATGCATGCCCTGTCCTTTTTGACAGCTCCTACTGCGTTCATGTGGATCTTACTTTGTATGCATAACACGGTTTGGCGCTGGCGCTGTGGCTGCCCTGCCGGGTGAGGGTTCGCTTCTTTTGCCTTTGTCTTAGCACGAGGTAAATCCGGACATAGAGCAGCAGGGTCACCATGAAGGGGAGGTAGAAGGACACCAAAGAGGAGTAGATGATGAAAATAGGGTTGGATATGGAACAGACACTGGGATCCCCTGGGAAGGAGAAGAGAGAGAGAGAGAGGAGCAGCTGAGCTGCTTTGGTTTAGTACATGGAGGCTCTGGTGCATTGGCAAAGCAAGTTGAAAGGTGGCTGGGGGACAAAGGCAGTCTAATGAGTGCAAGTATCTCCTGTCTGTTACTGCAAATTATACTGTGGCCTACCCACTCACCTAACTGATGCTTAAAATGGACTCTACCTAGGGCCATCTAGCATGACCCAGCGTGCATCTGCCTGCTTTTCTGGCCAACAGCTCTGCCCTCTTCTCTCATGTCTATTCCCATCCTTTCTCAGAGGATCCTTTCTCCTTTTCCCTCTTCTCTCATGTCTATTCCCATCCTTGAGAAAAGATCCTCTGAGAAGAGGATCCTTTCTCCTTTCGTCCTTTCTCCTACTCCTCTGACAGCCCCTGAGCTGTCTAGATGCAGAGGTGTGCCTTCACCCCCATCTGTCTGGACCAGGCAGTGGGGACAGCAGCACTTCCCACCCCCCTGTCCCCTTCTCGCCTCAAGCACTGCATAGAGGATGGATGGGGAGCAGAGGACTTCTGCCTGTGGCTCAGGGGGGAGGAAGGCTACCCTGCCCCTCTGCCTTCAGGGAGAATGGGCTGCCCTAGGTGAGGGGAAGGAGAAGACCAACCTGCTTCCAAGGAGGAGGCTAAATTGTTTGCTTTCCTCAAGGGATTAGGTGAGGAAGCAGACAGCCAGTTGGATGGGAAAGAGGTTTCTCACAAGCAGTGCCAATATGCAATTCTTGCTGTTTAGAAATATGTCCTGTATCAGATTTAAAACTGTGTGTCTGGACCTGTTGATATAAGCAAGATGCAGTAAGTCTGATATGTGTGTGTGTGTGTGTTGGATGTGCTGCACGTCTGGAGGTTTGCTCTGTGTGCACAGAGTGATTGTTTGGGGGGATCTGTAGACCTGGATGCTTTGATGGGCATTGATTTGGCAGTAAAGCAGGCAGGTCTGTCCTCAGAGCAACAGTCAGTGTCTGCCTGATCAAATGGCAAGTTTATAGACAAGAGCACATCTGCTCTCCAGCACTGGAGATTTTTCTCACCTTTCATAGCGTGCTTTCCAGTTCCCTAAAATTTCCTGTAACTTGGAAAGGCTGCAGGACCCACGTTAAATGACCTAGCCGTACACAGGGCAGCCCCATTTCCAACCCCTCCCTGCATGCTATTGTTCGAGACATCACCTACCTGTAGTATTGAAACCAAAGAGGAGAGGGCACGACACTGCAAACGCCAGCATCCAGACTATCACAATCATGAGAGAGACCCTCCTGCAGGAGCTCTGCCCAGTGCTGTACTGGTACTGAACTGGTTTCACCACTGCGGTGTATCTGCAGACCAAACCAGCTCCAGAAAGAGGAGAGGTAAGAATGGAGGGAGGAAAAGGACCAGGTTTTAAAAGGAAAATGAAGGCCACATAGGGAACATGATGGTGAATGTGGTGAAGAAGTGGAAGAGGAAAGGAGAGAAGATCAGATGATGGGATCAGCAATTTGTAGAAATGGTAAGCGGGGCGTTGGGGGGAGGAACAGAGGAAATCAGAGTTAGTTGGCAGCACTGCAGAGAAATGCTCTGCGGAACTTCTGGCATTGTGAAGCTACAAGGTTTGGGATGCCAGATGAATCTAGAAACCCCAGGAAACCCTCATCCCTCAAGCCTCTAAGGTTATATGTGCACTGCTGGGAAAGAGCAGTCTCTGGAGCAACCACAGCCTGCTACACTCTGTGCCTCAGCTGCCCACTCTGGTGTCAGCCTCGCTGACAGCCAGAGGATTGCCCACTGGCGGGTGTCCAGGGCATTCAGCTGCCAAGGTGCCCCAGGGGATGCAGCTCAGCAAGGCTAGGATTTGGAAGGCACAGGAGTCTCGTCTTTAGGATAGCCCGGGGGCTGCTCCTTGCAGACAGAGCCAAAATGAAACGGGGATAAAGATTCCTATGGGGGAACACTGGACCAACCCAGCGTTGAGAGCTGCTTCGTATGATTACCCTTGAACCACATATTACAAAGGTACAGTATGCAGTGTTTCTTCCTTCCCCCACTCCTCGGTCCTAACAGCACCACGTGTGCTGAGGTCTTGGCTCCCAGCCCTCAGCGCTGCTTAAAATAATAGGCTCAGTTTTAAGATGCAGAAAAGCAGGGCAAGGCTGAAGATTACACAGCAATAATCTTCACCCCTCCCTATGTATATGGCAGGATTTTGTTTATTAAAACTTCATGAGTGAGGTCTCCAGAAGGAGAAACCCTCTTTGAGACTCAATGGGAATTAGATGACCAATTCTGGTTCCTGTCTCCAAAAAGCATGAGGATGTGGTTTACTACCTACTGGTGATGTGGTTTACTACTACTTGCTGACAACTGGTAAACTGCTGAGCTGCCTCTCTGCCCTTAAATGCAGACATCTTCTAGCACATGGTGGGCAGAGCCATGTTAATAGCAGTAGTGGCAGTGATAGACTTGCAGGGAGGTTTGTGTTCCTGAAGACACCAGTGCTGCCTGTGCAAACTCCACTTCCTTGTCCCTGCCACGCTGGGGTACGGGGCTGACCCCCATCTCCAGACTATCCCCCGGATGCTGTTGGCTCTCACCTGTCAATGCTGATAGCACAGAGGTTTAAAATGCTGGCTGTGCACATCATTACATCCATGGTGACGAAGATATCGCAACAGATGCGGCTGAAAGTCCAGACTCCTCCAGTCACCTGCACCAGCAACCACAAAACTGTCAGCCTTGTTCCGCACCGAGTCCTGATAAGTTACGTATAAGGAGGTACTCTCCTCCAGGTATCTCAACAACTAGATGAGTTCATGTTCACTGTGATGTGCAGAGGGAAACTGAGGCACCTATGTTGTGTGCAAGATAACACAGCGGTAGATCATGGAGAAGGAGCCACACCTTGATTTCATTCCTTTAGTTACTCTTACAGAGGGAGGCAGGGTGAAGAAATAGAGAGCAGCTATCCCTTCCCTTAAAGCCTAGCACGATAAATTGATTTAAATTTGATATCACTGTATATATCCTTTGATTAAGGATTATCTGAGAAATCTAAGGGCTGAAAGTGTTTCTCAGCTTAGGGGCTGGAGTTCTCTTGCAGGCAGTGAGCCGGAAAAGTGCTGCAAATTTATGCATGTATGTATGAAACAGAGACCTGAGACCCAAGGCTTCTCTAAAACCTTATTTGGATTCTCATCTCAGTTACAGATTTTGATTATTAGATCTGAGTGAGAACTCACAAGCTATTCGGATAAATGGTTTTGGTTTGCTACCATGTCGAGCTTTTGTTCTGGTTGTTTTGAATTTTTCATCTGAAGTGCGTCATCGTGAAAGCTTAGCTGTGACCAACCTTTGTGATGGAGAAATGCATTTTTTGGCCCAGCCATCAAGTTCTTGACAGTGACCTTTTCGGTTGACAACAATATGCTCCAAGCACTGTGTGGCACTGCTTTCCTCGGGGCTGGGATGATAGCCTGACTCCGAGCGAGGTGGACTGCCTCAGAACCCACTCCTTGTAGGAGGTGAACAAGGAGACAGCCTACCCTCCAACAGATAAGCCCGTTGGATGAGTACAGCAAACAAATCTAATGCTGTGCTGGTTGGAAAAGGGGGGTAGGAGAGAAAGAGGGAGGAAAGTCCTTGCTTGGAGAGAGCCTGGATTTTAGCCTTCAACCCTGTAGATCCTGCTGGTTCATCTGGATCCTGGGAAGCTATCAGGAACTGGCACTAGTTCCTGGTCTCTCTGCTTACATTTAGACCGCATCTGAAGTACTGCATCTGGTTTTGGGGCCCCAGTACAGGAAAAACATTGATAAACGGGAGCACGTCCAGCAGCGGGCCACCATGACAGTCCCTGGGGGCTGGAGCACTTGTCCTGTGAGGAGCAGCCAAGGGAACAGGCCTTGTTCAGCCTGGAGAAGAGGTGGCTTTGGGGGGGGCTAACAGCAGCCCCCTAGTGGGAGGTTATTAAGAAAATTGGAGCCAGGTTACTAAGAAGATGGAGACAGGTTTTTCACAGCAGTGCATGGTGGGAGGACAAGAGACAACAGGCATAAGTTGAAAGGTGCAAACTGGTTATGAAGGTAAACTTTCTGACAGTGAGGCAGTGGAGCTGGTTGCTTGGCGAGTCTGTGCAGGCTCCATCCTTGGAGGTTTTCAAGACCCACTCAAAAATACCCATCCCAGATCAGGCTGGAGAGGGTGCCACAAGTAAGCTTGGCTTCTACGGCAGTGGGTCAACCCTGCAGCAAGTGTCGATGCCTTCCCGCGAAGGACGCGGCTCCCTGCAGAGAGAAGCACTTGTATAAATACAGAATTCACTCTGTGCGAGTTGTTTTCAGAGTTGTTTAAGAAATAATCCTGAGAAATTTAAATGGGTTTGATTGTGCCAGCATTCCCGCACGTGGGCACAGAAACTCGCTGAGGTGAGCTGTGTCTTTAGGGTGTTCTCTGCTGGACTCAGCTGCTACGTGTCAGAAGTCAGGTACTGAACGAGGCAGTCTTCCATTAGACCCCCTGACTCTGAATGAATACAGGAGAGAGAAATGGGAATTGGCTTGCAAAATGCAGTAGGGAACTGTGCTTTCATCTTCAGTTCTCTGGTACATGTGGGGCTCCTTTGTTTTCTTTTAAAAAAAGCAAGCAAAGGAAAAAAACTCCAAACCAAGCCCTTAGAGCTTTTCTGCACAATTAGGTGAGCTACAAGACATGCAAACTGAAGGTTGTCCCTCTGAAATTAGGGACCTTAACAGGTAGGTTCAGTTTTCAAAGCAACCCCACACCGGTTTTGCTTTAGTTGCCTATTTTGAGATCTGCTTGACCACCTCAAAACATAAAAAAAAAATTATAAATGCTGGAAGCCTTTGCAGTGGGACCCAGTAAGGGGTGTTTCTGTAGTCTGAGGCAAAATGCAATGCAGTGACTGTGTGATCTGTGGCGTCTGAAGAATGCTTCGCCAGGAGCTGGTGCCAGGTGTTCACATGAAAGCCAGCTGCCACTAGCCCAGCAGATGTACAAGCACTTAACTGAGGGAGTTTCCAAGTTCCTGAGCACATTCAAACGCTAAGCCCAAGAATGTGAACCATTAAAACTGAAGAAGGTGGTGGTGGGAATGGCTCTGAAGTGAACCCTCTCAGGATGATGCATTCAGATCACACCACCTGCATACTAAGCTGTAGCTTGTATTAAGAGGATGCTTGACAGATCAAAACGTTTGTGCTTGAAACCCATCCTCACTTCCACCAGCCACAACTTCGAAAATGGAGAGTAGCTCTGCTGAAGTCGGTGAAGTAGTTAATATTTACCTGTGGGGTATGCAAACCCAGAATTTATTCCAGCATTTAACAATGAAGAAAAGCCTTTTTATTATAGGCCTTGTTCATAACTTTTAAAGTTCTATTTCTGCTCTTCCTTTTGTTGCTCTGGTCCGCTCATCTTTGCTACAGCAGCTAGAACTTGCTAGTGTGCGTTTCTGGTTTTCATCTGCTGGCAGGGTACCTGTTCTTTATCCCTCTGGTGTCTTTTGTCCAGGAATCTCAAAGCACATCACACCTATTAATTGAATGAATCCTCACAACTGCCTGGGTGAGGTGGAAGGTCAAATATTGTTCTCTTACAGCTGATGAGAGCAAACCACAGAGACATGAGCCGATACAATCTCTCATTACCACTCAGTGCATGTGCGGCAGAAGTGGGAATAGAGTCCAGGATGAAATCCTGGCTCTGTCAAACACAACGCTAAAGCTCCCTATAGACTATTCAGGTCAGGTTCTCACCACATCTTTCTTGATGACCAGTCTGCTTTATCCACAAAATTGCGGTATTATTATTTTTTACTTTCCAACCCTATAGGAAGTCTTCCAGTTTAAAAAAAAATAATCATTGTGCATTCATAAACTTATGCAAATCCATCACACTCCTGAATCCTTAAAAATAAGCAGAAGAATCTCTGTAAATCAGATATGTATGATGATGCCATATTGAGGAGTACATGAATGGGAAAGTATGAACATGAAGTTGCATCAGGTGATGACAGGCATGTAAGTAGTGGTGCATCTAAGCATACTCACTTAAGCGTTTTGTGTTTAAGAGAGCATTCTTGGAGGTGCTGTTAGCTCCCTGCAGCTGTGAAATGGCCGCTTATGTTTTTGCACGGCAGGAGTAACTAAGAGCATGCATGTGGTCAGGCCTGCTGACAAGTGGTAAACTGCTGAGCTGCAGTAACTCAGTTGTCTGTCCTCCCTTTGATGGTAGTCTGGCGAGCTCCTTGAGCTGAAAGAGCAGTTGTAGGTCTCGCTGCTCCGGTGTGAGAGCCACAGAAGAGGAGGCAGCGTTACTCTCACATGCTCTGAACAGAGCTGCAGACTGGCCCTCAGTGACAATCATCTTCTGAAGCTTTTTTCCCTTTGGAGGTAGAACCGGATGTTGTGAGAAGACTGAGAAGGATGCTCCAGGCCATGCTGCTACATGTCCTCCTCCATTTATACAATGACTATAATAAGGCATGATGGTATTCAATGACATCAAACTCCAGTGAGCAGGATACCCTAATGCCACTGTCTTAGAAACCTTGGTGAGCTTCAATAGTTGCACCAGCCACAGCATCAGAGGTCAGGAAAGAACTGGGGTAGCAGTACTCTTACATTAGACCTACCCGTTGACCCCAGAAGATTGCTAGACACAATGCTGAATAGCATTTTTGTGCCAGAAACTTCATTAGGTGGAGATGAGGATTTTGAGGTTATAAAATGTTCCTATTGTTGCTCTGTCACAGCCTTCCCAAAAGGCTTCTCAGAAAGAGACGGTTCTGGTCTGCATGGTTGATAAAATGACAAATTTCATGGAGAAGGTCCAAGCCACAGACGGCTCTAAAAATTGAGTGTAAAGCACAAAGTTCACAAGTGACTTTTAAATCTGAGGTATTCATCCACCTTTAGCTTCTCCATAAATCATGGCCAGATCTCAGATGTCTGGTTTGGCAAACGTTCAGTAGATGAATAGGTATTGTACACGGTTTTGGGGACTGAATGATTTCTTGGCAATTTCCAGGCCCATAGCGTACTGAAGCATGATGCCATTTCCACTTCATTGGTAGAATCACTGATCCATAAACAGCAGCAAATATCTAAATGACTTCGGGGCTTTTGGGACTGTTTTTTAAATCTTAGTCTTGCTGGAGTCCTACAGCCTAGCTCTCTAGGAGATACTGGGCAATGCTGAGAGTAGTAGGTTGGGTCTGGGATGTGTGTGGGTTCTTCTCCCTGTTGTTTGGGTGACTCTTGGATCAGCTACTTTGATTACCCAGGCTCCACAGATGGAAATGAATCTTGAATGGGTCTACAAACACAACTAGGGAACGGGCCTACTGTCAAGCTCACAAATCGTGACCACAGTACTGCATGGGGGCAGAGGCTGCTTCACAGATATGCCTTAGTCCCACCCTGTCCACAGCAAGAGCGAGTGCTAAGTCTTTCCTAATGCAAAGCATATTGTGGTTTCATTAAAGATTGGAATACACTTGAGGTGATGGACTATTCCAGTCTGAAATAAAATTTGACTTTTAATAATATTTTTTAGTTGCAATCAAATTGCAGAGTCTAATTCTGTCTTGCTGGGATGGCTTCCCCCCCCACACTTATTCCTTGCTTTTTAATCACTCGATGTAACACAACTGAGCTGTACACATCCTGCAGGCCAGCTCCAGGACCACTCCACACAGATTAGTCTAAATGCTGCTACTGACTTCATTAGGAATGTGATCACACATGCAGTATCATGGTGCTCTCTTTGTTCTTTCACTCCACAGCATTGCTATACATAAATAATTAACCATCAATGCCCTTATTAATGATGCTTATACACAGAGCAAACCCTTAATTTCTCTTAATTGTAGCCTTGCTGAGACTGCAGTGGGCACAGTTTGGGAGAGTGGCTTGGATTAACACAAGGGAAATGCCTAGGCCGGGTGCCAAAGCTTAGAGCTGTGTTGCCTATTCAACATACTCCAGTGGCAGAGGAGGGCTATAAGCCACTGCCAGTTCCTGGCTACTTGATCAAATCACCTTGTACCCGCATAGTAGGTCTGGCATTTGCTGGTGTTGTCCTGTCTTGTCCTACTTTCTGTTCACGGACTGCGCAGTCCATATGCACAAGTCAAAATCCTTCTCTGCTTCTGCTTTGTTTTGCAGGAAAAAGGTCAGCCAAAGGTGGGCAGCTGCCGACAGAATATTTACGCTACCCTTCAGCCTGATCCTGGCTTGCCCCTTATGGAAAGAGCATGAGGCATCAGCGAGATCATGGCTTAGAGGCTTATTCTGTCTCTGTTAGCATGAGAACAGGGTACTAGGGCTCAGCTGAAAGCTTACGGCTGATGATAGATGTTCACTCTAAGTTTTCTAGACCTACCAATTTTTGTGAATTAGTGTAAAAATGCTGAAGAGAACAGATAAAAATGTCAGCTGTAGCATACCTTCATGTATTTACTTCAGCAAAAATATTTGCCCCAGGAATGGCTTCAGTAATTCAGGATTTTGCCATGGTGTGGGGGGATTTGGTTTCCATCTTTGCTGCCCTATATCGGATGGTGTTACCCACATTGTGCACGGTCATGCCAGTACGTTTTTACACTGGCTGATGTGCAAAGATCAGGGAAATGGCGAATAAGACCCTGAGGGCTTGATGAGTCCGTGGAAGTTATTGTGAAAATGCTCACATGGCTTACAGAGATTTTGGAGCATGTTCTTCAGATTCATCTCTTTGTCAGCCTGCTTGGGGAATGTTGCTTGGAGCTGACCTAACATCATGGGCGTTAAGGCTCTTAAACTCCACAGGAGATGACTGCCCTTGCTTGTTTTCTGGCCAGCAGGAGTGAGTCCGTGGAAGTTATTGTGAAAATGCTCACATGGCTTACAGAGATTTTGGAGCATGTTCTTCAGATTCATCTCTTTGTCAGCCTGCTTGGGGAATGTTGCTTGGAGCTGACCTAACATCATGGGCGTTAAGGCTCTTAAACTCCACAGGAGATGAGGATTTGACTGCCCTTGCTTGTTTTCTGGCCAGCAGGAGTAGGGATTGATCTGGGCTCTAAGGTGAGTTCTTATAAGGTATTTCCACCTTATTGCCTCCCCCGCCATTCCTGAATCATCGTGGTGCTCACTGGCAACCCTTCTGGCTGATGGAGTCAGCTTCAAGGATGCTCAGATGAAAGTGGTATTAGCACATCAGAACCCACAATCTACATTACTGGCTGTAGCCCAGCTGCCATTCAAGCTCAAAGAGGCTGTGCTCTGCCAGGAAGGGCAAGGCTCAGGTTATCTGCTGACGGGTGGGACTGTGGTGTGTTTGTCCGGCATGTGTTCAGCCTATGAGGGTCACCTCTGTGACACTGTGAGCTGCCACCCACCTGCTGGGGGGTTAAAATGTGAATAGACTTTATCTGTACCCGAGCTGGCCTATCCTGAGAGCGTGCACTAATGCTGGTGAACTTGTACTGTGGTTAAATTCTGCTAATCATCTTTCCCAAGATGTACTCACCTCCAGGTACACCACCCATGGCATCACCAAAGTAGCCACCAGCAAGTCCGCCACCGCCAGGCTCACCACAAGGTAGTTTGTTGTGGTTTGCAAGGTGCGTTCCCTCAGCACGGCTAAGCAGACCAGCACGTTCCCAAAGATGATGGCCAAAATCAAGATGCAGTAGCAGAGGGCATAATAGGCATGTGAGTGTGGCAGGTCAGGCTCTGTAGTGTTGTCTGCCCCACAGGGAATGGGGTCGGTGGTGTTAGGATGACTGCTGGTTCTTGTGAAGAGGGCCATGGGGACGCCGCTGCAAAGAGAAAGAAAGAGATGACTGAAAATCAGAGCTCTACAATAACTGTGAAGAACAGTACCTTTTGTGAACAGTGTATGATTCTCATACCTCCTTCATGAATCCTACTTCAAGACAATTATAGAGGTCTTTTTTCTGCTCATATATAGGCAGAACTTTGCTTAAGGTCTTGCTTGGCCTGTTTTGTTTTTCATTGAATCTAAGCCAAGAGAAGAATGCAAGATTTCACCTCCTGTGTGCATCTGAAAGGTGCATCTTACCAACCAACGCCGCTGTACGGAAAGTGGCAGTGGTTTTAAGATGTACCAAAGTCATACCACAGTACAAGCCGGGCAAGAGCACAGTCTGAAAGACAACAATTTGTAGCGCTGAGGAAGACCCAACGCAGTTACCCAAACTAGGGCTTGCCCAGAAGCTTGGACCTAGTACCTTTTCTTCTGGGAAGTACCCTCCCCCTTCCCTCGTCAAAAAATGTCTTCCGTAACTTCATGCACTCGAGTGCTCGGCAGCCTGGCAGAGAGACTGCACCTGCAATGCTCAAGTAGCCTCTTGAACCCTGGCTGCCTGGCAGTAAGCACCACCTACTGAACTGCTCTTTTCCTGCAACGTGTTTCTGTCCCAGGCCTTCTGTTCAAATAACACTCTGCTTCAGCCCTGCCTGCCTTGCCAAAGCTTGACTGTCAGTGCTGCCCCCATTTCATCCCTGCTGTGCTCTGTGTTTTCCATGCCTGGCCAGAAGATGTGCTTCCTGTGCTGAAGAGCAAAATCAACTTGCCATTTGGGATGAAATAATGGAAGGATGCTTGCAGGGCACTCTGCATTTCTTTTTCTTACAATGGATTCATGATTGTGCTTAGGAACCTACCCTTCCTTGATTTGGAAGGAGGATGATTTTTTCCAGGTATATAAAAGACTGCTGTCCCAGGGTTGTTCTGTGACATTTAATCGCTTGTATCCGATTTTTTTCTTTCTTTGTTAGTGCTCCCATCGCTGAACTCGTCATCAATATGGCAGGTACGAAAGGCAAGGAGAAAACGTTGCAATGCCGATGGTATAAATATTACTCCTTGTTCCACCTCACCCCTTGAACAGCAGCATCTGTGATGCACACACTCCTGGAAGAGTAGCTGTGCAATAGGTATAAATTGCTCCAGCCCCTGGGCATATATTAATCCTTAAAACTGGTGTCCCTTGCTCCTGCTGGTTTGTAGTTGGGAGAGGACAAGGGCTGAATGAGATGGAAAACTAAACTTCCCCCTGTCCCGTGAACACAGATCCCTCCGGACAGAGGTGAAACAATCTCTTACGGCATGTGTGCTGTTTGAAAGTGCCTGTGCTTGTCTCTCCTTCTCTATCTTTCTTCTGCCTGCCCCTGACAAAGAAGTTAAGCCTTCCACTGGATCTGAAGGATTTCCCATAGCGTGAGCGCTGCTGCCGAGTCCAGGGCTGTTTGCTTATAAAACAGTTCAGCTACAGCCACCCAAAGACAGGACTTATTTTGCAGTGTCCCTTGCACCGGCACAGCTCCCGCTCTGGGAAATCTGTATTGTCTGGGGCCATGAAAGGCTAGTTCAGTAGCGCTGGAAAAAAACTACATTAAGGAGCTGCCTAGCTGATAAGCAAAGCCACAACAGGGAATGAACAAAACATCACCGACGATATAACCAAAAGGCTTAAGGCACCGCATTACACAGTTTGCCTGTGGGTTTCCTGCCCTGTCTCCTGCCCCTTACATCCTAAAGCACTATTTTCGACTCTCACCCAGAGGCCAATCTTCCCTACCAGGATCTCTCCCAGCTCCCCACCCCCCTCCCTGCCAGGCCCCCCAGCCCTGGACTGCCCCACACTCCCCTGGCCCTGCTCACTCTGCCCGCAGCCAGGGTGCTGCCAAACCAGGCGAGTATCAGGGTACTGGGATACTGATGTGCCCGGGTACCAGGATACCTGCATATGGGGGTGGCGGGACACGGGGGGTACAGGCACACCGGGACACCAGGGTACCGGGCTACCCACCACCCGGGGCACCCAGGCAGCGAACGGCGGCAAGGAA